TGAAAGGAAGGGCTAAGTATGCACCTTTAGAATTGATAAAAGGATCAATAAAAAATTTAAATACGCTCCTTAAAAAACACCCAAATGATGCATAAACCTTCGGTGAAAACCCCTAAAAATGATAATGATCCATAAAAATATCAATATGATCCATATTTTATGTCAAATTCAGCAACACATATATAAAAATGTACAGCTAAATTTTTAAAGAATGAGTATTGTACGAATAACGGCGTCGGTGGTGTGGTGGTAGGCGTGATTACCTCTCACCCCAGTAGGCCTGGGTTCAATCCCAGTCGGCACTGCCGGGATGTTCTGAGGCATAACATCTCTGATCACGCCTTCCTTCGGATGGGAAGTAAAGCCGTTGGTCCCAGGTTCATGAGTTGATGGGTCGATAGGTAGGGTCCAGGTGTGGGAGCTGCCTTCCTGGCACGTCGGTAGCATTGGTGCTCAGCACGGAAAACAAGATCGACGGAAAAAACAAAGCAAAGGAAAAAAAAAAGTATTGTACGAATAACCCTTAAACATAATGCAAATGATCCATAAAACGTTCGAGAATGAACGTTAAACTAACGAAATTAAATCAACTTATATTAGAATCTTCTTTAGAAGCTTGCTTCGCCATTAAACTTCAATAACTTTGTAGCAATTAAATTGTAAAAAAAATAGAAAAGGCTAAAAAGGAGCTTAAAATCGCTCCACAAGTGGTGTGAACTAATTATTTGAAGCTAAATAATAAACACTATTTGCAACCAAATGTCACCGTTTGGTTTTATACTAGGGGAAATGGCTCTAATGTTGGCCTATGGATGTAAGATTGGGCCCATTTCTAAAAATCTGCTATTTATAAATTTCATCTAGATGAACGCGTCATTGGGACGGTGCTAATGGATATTTTTGGTCGCTATTGAAAATTTAGTCGATTGCTGAATTTATGTATGGGCCCAAATTAGGGGGATTACTGACATTACATCCATTTCCCCTACATAGATTTTTTTCAAGCATGCCTCGAAAAAACAGTCCACGTTTTACTGCGAATGTTATAATAGGTCATTTCCAGTACTTGCTTTCAGCTTTTACTGCAGCTTGCTGTAAATTACAGCAAAGAAACTGTATATCCCCGCATTTTTTGCTGAAAAGTACCCACAAGTCAATTGCAATAGAAGATTGTTTACTGATGGATCACACATTGATGGATCCACTGGCTTCGGTGTCTTCAATGAATACTCAACTGCCTTCTGGAAACTTCAGGAACCTTGTTCCGTTTATGTTGCTGAGCCAGCAACAATCAACATCGCATTGGAGATAATTTCCGACATGCACACAAACCATTATTTCATCTTCTCCGATAGTCTCAGTTCGATTGAGGCTATTCGGTTGAAGAAACAAGGTAGGCACTCATCATATTTCCTTTAAAAGTTAAGGGAGCAGATGAATTTGGTGGTCGAAAGATCATATATGATTACCTTTGTATGGGTCCCCTCAAATTGCTACATCCCAGGCAATGAGAAGGCAGCCTCTCTCGCAAAGGTGGGCGCACAACAAGGCGAGATTTATGATAGAATCATTTCACATGATTAATTTTTCCCATTAGTACGTCAGAGTTCTCTGCTAATTTGGCAAAGCGATTGGACAAGTAATTCTATTGGGTGGTGGTTACATTCCATTACTCCAAATGTTTCTTCGAGAGCTTGGTTCAAAGGTCTGGATGTAAGTCGGGGATTCATTCGCGTGATGTCAAGACTTATGTCCAAGCACTACTCGCAAGACACACATCTCTACAGAATAAACCTTGTTGACAGCAATATATGTAGGTGCAGAATCGGTTATGATGATATTATTATGAACTTATGAACCCGCGATCTTCCCTACATGCAGGCAATCTACGAATTCCTTTGTTTGTCTGATGTTAGAGTTTTATGTGACCATCTCCTCCTTTCCACAAATTTTCCAGTAATTGTGTCCCAGTCTTATTATCCACCTGTTTCTGTGCTACTTGCTTCTGCCCAGCCACCATTTGGTAAACCGTTTGAGAGAGTAATCTGAAGGAGGCTTTAGAAATTTGTTTCCTACCTAGCACCTTCCAATCGAAATTGTTACCCAGTAACCTCGAGCCTGCCACGAATAATCGGTACCCAATACCAACCTAGATTTATTGCTGTTTAAAATGTTAATTAAAAAATTACGGATTTTTGGCTCCGTAAACTGTCACACACGACTGAGCCTAGTAAATAAATGAACTATTTAAAAAAAAGGCTATATGCTGCAGAAAGCATTAAATCATACTTTTGCTTTTATCTGCACATAATCTTATTGAAAAGCAATTACGGGAACATACCTAATATTACACCTGTTAATTTCTAATCCTGTGCACTTCATGAATTCTGTTACCTCTTAAAGATAAATCGCAATTGTGTTTTATGTGAATAACTTAATTCCAATCAACGTGTTTCTGATAACCATTTATATTCTCCATTTACAAAATTTAATTCCAAGCGAATTAAGTGGTGACAATAATCCCCACATCTTGAAATTTCAACGTGCAATCATAGGAAAATCAATTATTATATTGATGTGCATTAACAACAAGAAAGGACCATTTAGGACCAAAAATTCCTAAATAACTAATCAAAGTGTCTTTCCCGTGTATCCTTCTTCTGCTATTATCACTGCTGAATTTTTTATATATCTTTATTAAGGAGACTTTCAGCCCTTGGCTGGTCGTCTCCAAAATCTCTGCAGGATGTTTACCCCTGACCTTGCATTATTGTTTTTTGAGCCTCAATAGGGCCTCAAAAGTTGATCTTAAAAAACTTTTTTACTTAAAGTAACTCCATCCTGGAGTTGCTTTCAAAACGTTCTATTTCTCTTCAAGTTTTTATTTAAGAAAAATCAAAAATATGTGTTTTAGTTATTTGAATTTAAGGCTTATTTTTGTTTTTTTAACCGAAAAAAAATCAGTTTGTATTTTTATTTAATAAAGCCTTATTAGTTCCCTGCAACTCTTTCTTAGTCATTTTTTCTCAATTACTCAAGAGCTATAATTGAGGATGCCCTTTCTACTCTCTTTTCTCCTGCGGAATTTTTTTTAGCTTATTCTTTACACCCAGGAAACTTCAACGAAATCGGAGGAGGTGCTACCAACTATAGTCGCTATATTCATAGTCTGGCGGATAGAATCTCGGGAACCAATTGAGCTGTCAAATAGCGGAGTGAACCTCCCAACACTATTAAATGGGAAATCTGAAAAGAACTTCTATGAAATGAATTCTTGATAAAAAAAGATATGATCAGAAAACATTTTCAGACTTTATTTTGAGGGTGACCCCAAACTTTTGAGCGATACATACATCGTACTGTGGAGTGACCCCAATCTTTTGAACGATGACTTGAATACATATTTTCATGATTCAAATATCAAAAATGACAGAGATAAGGCTTGTACTTGAAAAAAATGCACCATTTATATCCGTGTGTAACTTTTTTATACGTGGGTAAAAATTGATGAAAATCAGGGTATAACTAGTTTGAAGTGAATTGTTTACATGTGCAAAATTTCATATTAATCGGTTCAGTGGTTATTGAGATGTCATCGAAACAAGAAGAAAATCGCCGGAGAATTTTGCGCGCCGTCATGGAAAATCCGACTGTGACCACGAGATGGATCGGAAGACAACTAGGAATCACCCATACAACTGTGTCTCGGATGGTAACATCGTTTAAGGAGTCCCAGATGAGCGAGCGGAGGGCTGGAAGTGGAAGAAAATCGAAGACAGCTGACCCTGTGATGGCCCGGAAGGTGTTGGATTATTTCAAGCATAATCCGAACCTTTCGATTCGCGACGCGGCTCTGAAGGCAAAGTGTTCCACCTGGTTCGTTCAGCAAACCATGAAACGAGCTGGGCTTCGTGTATTCAAGGTCCGGAAGGCACCGAACCGGCGTGATCAACAAAACACGGCGGCCAAATCCTGCGCAAGGAACCGATGTGTGTGGTTATGGATGACGAAACCTACATCAAGGCAGACGCAAAGCAGATACCGGGGCTAGAGTTCTACGTTGCCAAATCACGGTTTGATGTTCCGGAAGATATAAGGAATAAGAAAGTGGACAAATTCGCCAAAAAATACTTGCTGTATGCCAATGCGGTAAACTGAGTAAACCGTACATAACAATGGGTACCATCAACAGCGAAATTTACCGCACCGAGTGCCTCCAGAAGCGTCTGTTGCCCTTCCTGCGGTCCCACGGAGGCGAGACATTATTTTGGCCGGACCTGGCATCATGCCATTACGCGCGATAGACGTTGGATTGGTACAGAGACAATAACATTGTTTTTGTATCAAAAACCGACAACCCCCCAAATTCACCATTTAAGAACGAGCTGGAGCTGAAGAAAGAATGGATGAAAGTGACCAAAAAGGTCGGCTCCACCATTGCACAAAATGTAATGAGGGGTCTTAAGGAAAAGGTGCGGGCTTTCAGCGATGGAAAGGAAATTGAATAAAGTAATTATACAGAAACATAATCCATATGTATTAGTCAATTCCCTGAAAGTTTCAAGAAAATCCGACTCAAAATAAATTTTTGGTGGACACTTTTGTTTGGTACATTTTTTTCGAGTACAGGCCTTATGAACAAAACACAATTTCATGTTTTTTTAGGGGTGACCCCAAACTTATGATCGGGAGTGTAAACGGAGAAGTCTGATTGATTTGGGTTTAAATCTTCAAAAAAAAGGGCTGAGATTGAGATAAATTGTGTAGAGACATACACAATAACACAACTAATAATGGGGAGCCACGCAAATGTTAGTGGGCTACCAACGATATAACTGTAGGAAAAGTGTGAAACAAATAATTTTTCAAAACCCTATTCGAGCTTTACTAAACGCGCCGGCAACCAAACATCAGAACGCCGCGAGAGAGCGAAAACCGCCAGTATTCGAGCCAATTCTGTTGAGCTAGCCTTGCTCCTGGCTAATTTTAGTTAATCGCAGCTAAACGCTCGGCGCGACAACACACAGCTGCGTTTATTCTCATTCTGGTGGAAGACCACAATACGTTTCGAAACAAAAAATCCTGCGCGCGCGCTTCACGTATTCATCCTAGCCAACGAATAAGTGATCTCCGTCTGTACGCACAGCTACAACCACCAAAACGACCTCGCGAGGTGATTCGTCCTTTAAGGATTGAAAAGCAATAATTTCCCAACGATTATACGATGACAGCAACACGTTGACAAAAGTGAATCATGTGAAGCAAACGGATGCTGTCGTGATGGTTCACTGCGACTTAAATAAATGTTTATGATCGTGTAAAAGTGATTGATGGTGCCGAAAAGCAACGTCGAAGGGTTTCAAATGATCTGAGCGAAGAATTCTGAGGAAACAATTTGGTTTTGTTCATTTTGGTTGCTGTGGAAGTGTGTCCCTCCAAATTTGCAAAATAATCTTCTACTGCATTGTTAGTAATGCGTACTCCGAGGGTCGCTCGATCCGTTGTTTTGCAGAAGGTCTAATTATATTTTAATTAATTAATTACGCTACATTTTAATAGCGAGCGCAGCGAAGATAGAAGCAACAGAAATTTTATACTGGCGACAAATTTCAGTGCACGAAAACAAGTGGATCCAACGAAGCAGATCACATAACTAGCAGGAGAATCAAAAGTGTGTGCAAAAGTGATCTTAGACCACCAGTTGCAGCGTGTTTACTGTATGAAATTAAAATTTGCTCATACACGGTTACCGATTATTGCAGAAAACCGTTGCGAATCATAGAAAAGGATAGACCATCGAAGTCAAGTCGAGGACCGTTAGAGTGTGGTTAATGTTTCGTGTTTAAATCCGCCAATTTAATGCCTCTATGCTAGTGAAAGCGTGGAGCTAATCGTAATCGCATACAAGTTGCAGCTGATCTCTGGTCGGGGTTTGTGAATTTGAACCGACAGTCAACGGTCGGGATGCAGGCAGAATGAATTAGTTGTGCAAACATGCGAAGGATGATAAAATGAAGTTCGCCTGAGGGTAATCAGCTGCCGGATAGTGCAAATGTTTGTTTATCAGTTAGTGTGCCGTAGAACGTGGTACGTCCGTTCATTTTGTAGTTTCGGTAAATAGTTGAAAATGTAAACTATGTATAAAAACAAGTGCACGTTTTGCAGTCTAGCGACATCGACAAGCCGCATTCATGCCGTTCGGATACTGCTGCTGTTGTTTATAGTTATTTTAGGTAAGGTCCATACTATATGTGTTACTTTACGGATGATTTGGCTGTGTCAACAATTGGTAATATAAAACATGTTAAGCTTACAGATTAGCGGCGCCGGGGGTGTAGTGGTAAGCGTGATTACCTCTCACCCCAGCAGGCCTGGGTTCAATCCCAGTCGGCGCCGCCGGGATGTTCTGAGGTACAACATCTCTGATCACGCCTTAATAATGAATAAGATAACATCTTCGCACGCTTTAATTGTTGAAGTTTTAGAAAACTGACTCAAGACATTCCTTGATTCTAGTAAATTAAATATGTTGGCTGGTTATTTAAATAGTAATTGGCATGACAACCATAATTTAAATCATTTGAAGGCGTTTAACTGATTTTTTTTTTTTTTTCAATTTAAAACAAACGATAGATGAATACACGCGTATTTCCAGGCACAGTAGAACTTTAATTGACCACGTTTATTCCAATTTTGATTCTATTTGTTAAGTTACGGATACTGATTTGAAAATAACCGATCATGAGACCTTAGTGATTAATGTATTAGATAATTTAAATAATAACGATGACTTAGTAAAATTGAAGTGCTGGAGGAAATATTCGAAACAGGCTGTTTCCAATCTTGTTGAGGGAAGCGTGGATTTTCCATTCGTGGCCGGTAACTTAGATGAATCAACAGCTGTTCTTAATAACGATTTGAAAACGAGTACCAATCAACTAGTTGAGCAAAAGCTTGTTTGTTTGAAAAACTCGAAAATCTGGTACAATTTGGATCTTTTGCGTCTTAAACGGAAAAGGGACAAATGGTACAAAAAGTTTTGTAGATCAAATAGTGATAGGCCCCCATCGCTAAAAATCTTCTATTTTTCAATTTTATGTAGATGAACGCGTCATTGGGACGGTACTATTGGATATTCTTGGTCATTAGGGCCCATGCATTAATTATGTCACGCTAAATCGAGCAAAAAATTACCCCTCCCCCCCTACCGTGACGTTTTTCCTATACCTAATGCATTGCTTGTCACAAAATCTTAGACCCCCCCTCCCCCCTTAGAGCGTGACATAATATATGCATCAACCCTTATTGAAAATTTTGTCAATTGCTGAATTTATGTATGGGCCCAAATTGGGGGCATTTAGGCCGACATATAAGAGATGAACCAGCCTCTGGCTGAAAGTCTCGCTAATAAATATAACCTAACCTAACCTAGGCCGACATTACATCCATTTCCCCTATTCATTGGAATAGGTACCACACGTAATAAATATTCACAATTGATAAAGAAATTTCGTTGTACATGTGTTCAAAGGAAGACTGCAGCATCGAAACAACAGCAAAGAGTTATGGAAAATTTTGAAATCTTTATAAAAAAAAACTAGTAATTGCAAACCGCGGTCCATAAGTTTAAATGGCACATTAGAACAATCAGAATAAGAAATTGCATCTAAGATTATTTTGTTAATAGTGTTTCATTGATTAACCAATCCGTTGAATTGGTCGATGAACAGCCAGTTAATAGTAGTTGTAGATTAGAAGGTTTTCACCCAATTACATTAGATAAACTAAGAGTTATTTGCTTTCCATCAGGACAATCATCTGGAGTAGATAATGTTAATGCTAGAGTTATTCAAGATTGCTTTCATGTCATTGGACACATCTTGCTGGCCCTTATTAATGAATCATTGCAAACTGGACATGTGCCACAAATTTGGAAGTAATCCTTAGTGGTTTCTATTCAAAAACTTGCTGGAACTTCCATCAACATGTTGCACACATTAGAGAAAATTTTAGAGCTTGTTGTTAAAGGTCAGCTGTTGGCGTATTTCAATATTTGTTGATAACAGAACAATCAGGATATCGGAAGGTCATTCTTGTGAAACTGCATTGAATTTGATGTTAGCAAAGTGGAAAAAAACAACTTGGAACGTAAAGATACGATTGTTGCTGTTTTTAGAAACTGAAATGCGCTTTTGAAACAATTTCTAGGCCCTCATTGTTACGATCAATCAAGCGCTTTGGAATTACGAGTGCTGCATGTAAAAGGTTTCAAAGCTATTTGTCTGACAGAACTCAACGGACTGTTTTTAATGATTATGTTTCCAGTCCCGTGGTGAATAACCTGGGTGAACCGTGGTGAATAAGGGAAATGAATTAGGGCCCCTTTTATTTATATTGTATATTAATGGTATGCGACGTGTTTTACGATTTTTTGACATAAATCATTTTGCAGATGATACTGCACATTAAGATTTTTTTACAGTATACTGTAATTTTTTACCGAATATGGAACAGCTGAACATTCGGTAATCATTTCGATAATTTTTTAATTTACAATCCGTCCTGTAAATTTTCTTCGCTTGTGGCCTGTCAAAATTTACTGACCTGGACTGTAAATTTTACTGAATGATCGGTAAAGTTTACCATAGCGTTCAGTATAATTTTTACCGAATCGACTGTACTTTATTTTCAGAATAAATAATAAACATTGTAATTTTTATTGATTGATCAACTGTTTCTTTCTTTCACCAAACCAAAAGATTCATTCCTTATAACCATATATATTTTTTGGAAGATGCATTTTCATCTTGCGTTTGTACAGAAAATTATAAAAAAATCAGTAAAGAACCCGGACGAGGTTATCAACTAAGTAGCGAACCGTTCTAAAATGCAGTTTCTGCGGTAGAGGAGAACATTGAGTTGCATAATGTCCATGGCGTCTGAAAGAAATTGACCCAGAAATGAAAAACTAATTATATTTTCAGCATAAATTGCACAGAATCTAGCGAAAAGTAAAGTACTTACGCTTCACAACGTAGAACCGAAGGACACTCAACATCGAAATGGCAGCCAATATTGAGTTTGACAGTACGAAAATCTGTTCAGTAACTTTTACAGAATTCGGTACTTTATAGCTGTTTGATTTTGTAAAAGATTATTTTTACAGTCTACTCGTCACAATTTTTACAGAATTGCGAAATCGCAGCCTTTTACAGTTTCGATCCGCAAATTTTATTTACAATTTTCGGTAAATGTATGTAAATTACGGAAATTCAGCAGTTCAGATTGCGGAAAATTTGTAAAATAATATGTTTTACAAAGCATTCGGTAAAAATTACATTTTACCGAACAAATTCAGCAAAAAAGTACCGAACAAGATTTAAGAAATTTGGTGTGTGTGTGTTATTCATTGCAGCTAAGGATTTAGATCACATTTGAATGAAGATTTGCGTTCTCTAAGTAAATGGTTGAAGTATAAGAAGTTGAAATTGAAACCAAGTAAAACTAAATTTATGGTAATTTCGCGGAATCGAGTAAATGATAACGTCTCTGTTGTAATTGATGATGAGGCCATTTATCACGTTCGGGTGATTAAATATCTTGGCATGATTATTGATGACAAACTTAAGTTCAACTCATCAAGAAAGTTGCCAAGAAGTATGGAATTCTATGTCAACTGAAAAACGATTTAGCTATTGCCAGTAAAATACAGCTATACAAATCAATCATCTCTCCTCATCTAGACTTTTGCCCTATTTTCGGCCAATGATGCAACACAAATATCGAGATAAAAGCGCTTGCAGAATAAAATAATGCGTTTGACTTTGGGATGTAATAGATTCACTTCCTCAACTTTGATGCTAGACGCCTTAAAATGGTTGTCGGTGAAGCAAAGAATTGTATATTTGACTATGGTGTTCTTTTTTAAAGTAGTTAACGGTTTGCTGCCTCGATATTTGTGTAATCGAATTGAAAGAGGAAGTGACTTTCATAGATATAATTCTAGAAACGCGGTTGAAATAAGAACACCACATTTCTTGACTTGTGCTTCACAAAATTCATTATATTTTAATGGAATAATTCGATTCGATGCCTAGACATATTAAACGTTTAGTAACACTTCCACTGCATTTCACACATTAAAACTGTGTTTTGAACAGTTATCCAAAGTTATGATTTTTTTATGAATTGACAAATTATGTATCTTGACGAAATTTGTAACGGATTATTTTGTATGGATAGCTGTCATTATGGGGGCCTACCTTAGCTCAGTCGGTAAAGGCGCAGCTACAAAGCAAGACCATGCTGGAGGTGGCTGGGTTCAATTCCCGGTCCGGTCTATGAATTTTTCGGGTTGGAAAATTTCTCGACTTCCCTGGGCATAGAAGTATGATTGGACTTGCCACACAATTATACCAATGCAAAAATGGTACAGGCATCGAAAGCTCTCAATTAATAACTGTGGAAGTGCATCTAGAACACTAAGTTGAGAGCACGCAATAAGCTAATATATGCGATATGTAATAAGCTTGAAAAGCGAAGAAGAAGAAAGAAGAAAGAAGCTGTCATTATGACTTTTAAATAATTATTGTAGCGTTGCAAAAACTATTGTGATGATGATGGATTTTTGATAATTGATTTCATATTAGTAGTTAATGAAAAAAAAATGTGACTAGTCTACAAAGTTTTGAGCCTCGCACGCGTATTACAGATGAAAGAGAAATTTCTAAAAACGTAGGTCACTCAACCTTCTCTCTCTCTAAGTGAGACTGAACGGCCGTGTGTGATTATTTTTGATACAATAGTTTGCGCTAGTACCACTCAAAAATAATCACAGTGAAAAAAAACTTCTTCTCAGATGTCATCATTTTCAAGTTATGGTTTTTGTAAAAAAATTAAATCCAATTTTAGAATCGCCGTTTTGAAAAGTTACTTTTGAGAAAAATAATCATATTTAAATGAAAAATGCAACAATGGGTTGAAACCAATCACAGTGTCTCTGGTGGGATAAAATTATTTAAAAAAAAATCAGTTTCGCTGATACATCCACCAAACAAAATCTTAGGTGCTCCTCTTCCGCCTAAGGCTAGTTTCAAAATGTTCTATCGTTTTCCATACAAATTTTGAGCTCGGCCATTGACGAGAGAGTTAATTTTTTGACGTGATTTACACTGAAAAATACTAAAAAAAAACAAAAAGGTTCTAGGCCGGATAGAACTTGTTTTTTAATATT